TTTATGAAAATGGTGAGCAGGGACAGGATTTTGTGCTGGACATTTAGGACCATCCCATCGCAGAGTGTCGTCTGGGTCACTAGCACGGTCTGGACAGGAGCAGTCTGCCCCAGCCTGGCGCCTCTTCCTGCCCACGCTTCCTTCCACCTGGACACTTGCTGCATCCTTATGTCTCTTGCCTCTTGCCTTTTCTCGTTACTTGCTGACCACAAACCCTTCTCTTGGGAGATCTTCATTCTGCCAGGTCGACTGCTGCCTCTTAAACGTGACTGCCTGGTCCCCGCAGGAAGAGGCGATTTGTCCCTTGGCCACGCTCCGGTGAGACAAGCTCACCTTTCTTGGGGGGGGCTGGGGGGCGGTCTCACCCACTCACTGCCACCCTAGGTTTTGGCTTTTGAACACAGTTGCCCCCAAAATGTTTGCGTTACGATCCTGTGAGTCAAATTCAGTAGGCTTTTCTGGGACCTTTATATAAAATTCACTCCAAGCTGCAGCCTGAGCCCTAAGCCGCCTATTTTGGTTTTTTGAGTTTTTGTTTGTTTGTTTGTCAGAGAGAGAGAGAGAGAGCATGTACAAGCAAGCAGAGGCGGAGAGAGAAGCAGGCTCCCCACCGAGCAAGGAGCCCAATGCGGGACTCGATCCCAGGACCCTGGGATCATGACCTGAGCCGAAGGCGCAGCCTAACTGACTGAGTCACCCAGGCGTCCCTATTTATTTGTTTTTTAAATAGCTAATTGCTCATTCAGTCACATGTTTCAAAAACCCCCAAACCCTAAAAGGATACACAGTGAGAAGTTTCTCGCCCGCCCGCGTCCGTCCTATTTCATCCACTCCTCCCTGTGGGCAGCGCCGTTATGAGTTTCCTGTGTGTGTTTCCAGCGAGACTTCATAGACCTACAAGCTAGGACAAGGAGGGCTGTGTACTTTGGCACAAGTAGATCTGCATACTTCAAAGACCGATATCTCTGAGCTCTTTCTGTATCAGCATACAAAGACCCGCTTCATCCTTTTTAAGGCCTGTGTGGTACACATTTGTATTAGAGCCACCTTAATTCAATTTAACCAGTCTTCCATCAGTGGACAGTTAGGCTGTTTCCAGTTCCAGACTGTTGTAAGTTCCTGGGTTGATAATCTTGTACACGGATTATTTCCCATATATGTAAGTCGGCACATCTCTGTAAGTGGAATCCTGGTGTCCAAGGCATGGGATTTGCAGTTGTGACAGAGGCTGTCAAACCCGCTGCTACCCGGGGGGCATCTGTTGGGGCTCCCACCATCGGTGTATGCAAGGCCTGACCCCCCGCCTCAGTCCAGTGTGTCATCACACATCTGTATCTTGAACAGGCTTGGCAGTGCGCCCCCTTCCTCACGGGGTAGCTGACTGAACTCCCCGCGACTGTCCTTGTTCAGCGTCGGGACCTTCAACTCGAGCCTTGTAGTCAGGTAGCCTTGGCAAAGGGACTCAAGACTCATCGTCTGCCCTTCAGTGCCTCGTTTGTAAAATGGGGCTGGTAACGGCAGCCTCATGGTTTCTTATGCAGGAGCCAGTGTGTTGGAACAGTGCCCAGAACGCAGGGCGGCTTGCAGTGGTACTCAGGGTGGGTGGTTCCCAGGAGTGAGTGTGCACATACCGCGCCCCCCGCCCCCGCCCAGGACCAGCCACTTCGTTGCCACTGAAGAAACTGCCCGTTAGTTTCCTGTACTGGCAATGGCAGAGAAGATGTGGAAAAAAACAGTCAGGCCAGGAAGGGAAAGGGGGCAGTGATGTACATTGGCTGAGAAGCCCGTGAGCCCAGAATATCCAGAAAGGAGAGGAGGAAGCAGCCAGTGTAAGACGTGCTCACTATTAGATTATGATCTGTGGGATGGAGCATGGTTGCCCCTGAGTGGAGGAGAAGGACAGGTAAGATGGGCGGGCGGGGGGTGGGGGGCGAGCTCCATTTCCCCAGCTTTACTCGCGAATAGCTACTCATCTAAAGTTGTAAAACTGACATTTTTGTCCAAAATTCCTTAAAAAACAAAACAAAACAAAAACGCCCGTGTATTTGGGAGCTCATAGCACCAGCGCATAGTAGAAATTCAATACAAATTATTGTTTGCCAAGTCCTAGAAGGCACATCCCTGTCAGGCAATAAACACTATGAAAATATTTATAGAAAGAAAAATGCTTTTTACAGTATCTTCTCTCTTCTGCCCCTCCAGTCTCAGTGCCTGCTGAGTATGTGGCCTTCACTCACCAACCCTTTCCTTTCTTTTTGTCGCTTCCTTCCCACCTTTGTGTCCATGCCACTGACCCAAAACCCGGCTTCGACCAGGCTGAGCCAGCCTCTGATGAAGGGCTTGCAGTGCCCATGGCGGTGGCCGTGGTCATGGCCGTGGCCAGGCGGGGAGGGAGAGCTGTGCGTTCCTGCTCTAAGCACCTTCCGGGTCAAGTGTTTCCTCTCCCCTTCTCCCCAGTTCTGCACTGCAGGGCAGTGGCGCGGGATCCCGTCAGCAGGTCAGAGAACCGTTCACTGGCTGCATCCCCATGGTACTTTTCTGCATAGTTTGAAGTACTCTCCTTCGGTTTCTGGCCTCACATAACCTTGACTCCACGGACGGCCCTCACTTGCTCTTGCGTTGTGGTGGACACACTGTATCTTTCCATGTTAGCTGTCCTCTTGGCTGTGTGTGCTGAGGACACCACTCCAGTGGGCAGCTGTCCCTCGGGATGGCCTCCCACCTTCTGTGGGCTCGGTGTCCCAGCAGCCCCTGAGAGCTGTCATCCACCGTGTGGTGCCCAGAGGCGCCAGGAGGCAAAACCAGCTACCTGGGATGGCAGGGCCCCAGGCTGTTAGACACTTAACCAGGAAGTTCTGACGTTGGGATCCAAGGCTTTGGATTTGTAACATTTGTGACAGCCACTAGACTCAAATTCGAGGGAAAACAGAGAACATCTGGACCCACCGGCCTGGCTTCTTACACACGCATGTCCCATTCTTCGGTAGCAGTCATCTCTGTTAGTGACACAGTGTTTCCTTGGGACCCTAACCTCAAGTGGGAATTGGCACCTCGGGGAGCTTGTTGGAGCCAGGGCCTTCGTCAGGACTAAAGAGAACGAGAGATGGCAAGTGTGTGGTCCCAGGTGACAGCTGGGTTGGCGAACTCCGGGTTCAGACCCCCTTGCGCTGCCGGGGCCACCTCCCCGCACATGAAAGCAGGGCATGGTAGGCCTCTCCCGCTCATCGTTCTCTGCCTTGTTGAGCTTGGGTGCAAGCCAGTTCCCAAACAGAGCTAGTTGGTCCCTTGCCCGTGGGTACCAGGGCACAGTTCTTTCCACCTGCCACAGGGAAATGAATGTGAAGCTCTCGCCGAAAGGAAAGAAGTATGCAGCGGATACAGAGGCTACAAAGCAAATGTGTCTGGCTACAAAGCGGATACTGGCTGCTACAAAGCAAATGTGTCTGGCTCTCTTCAAGCCACCACCTGACTCAGCCCTCCAAGTATTTATTTATTTATTTGCTCCACTGCCCGTGGGAGAGGAGCCCGATGGGAGAGGTGTCAGCTGAGCCATTTCAGGAATTCCCACAGTGGGAAAGGTTTTAGCTTCCCCATGTCAGCTGACGTGACTGAAGAGTTAGAGGATTATTTTTAAGAGATGAACAGTTTCTCCTCTGTAAGATGAGAACCTGGAGCCCCACACTGCCTAGCTTAGCATTTCTGATTGTGCTGAGTGGCGTGTGCAAGGAGGGGGTGTGAGCCTTCCACACTGGTAATGCGTGACCACAATGTAATGTGTGGCTTACATCACTCTCTAGTGATTGTCCCACAGTTTCTGTGGGTTGGGAGTCCAGGCAGGGCTTTGCTCCGGGGTCTTATCAGGGGGTGAGCCAGTTGTCAGGGCTGCAGTCTCATCAGATGCTCAGCTGGGGAAAGAATCCACTTCAGGTTTCCTCAGGCTGTTGGCAAAATTCATCTCTGTCGGCCCTCCCTCTCCATGGCAGCTTATCCTTTCAAGGCTAGTGAAGGGAGACTTTCTCAGTCTGCTAAGATGAATATAACCTAACCAAGTGGGAAGCATCCAATCCCCTTTGCCATATTCTGTAGGTTAGAAGCAAGTCCCGGGTTGTGCCCACAAAGGCATTAATGCTAGGAGTCACATCATGGAGGTTTCCTCGGGGTTCTGCCCACCCCAGGGAGAGGATACATGCTGTATCAGTAAATGTTCCAAAAGTATTCCCAAGTGAAGACCCAGCCTATTATAGATGATCACACTGGTTTTTTCTGTGAAAAGAAGCAGTTTGAATCTTTTCCTTCCATATCAGAATGCCCCAGGTCCTGAAACCCTTGGCAGCCCAGTTCTCTGCACCGAGACCTGATCCCAGCTGTAGCTGGCTGTAGGTGATTGAGAAACGGTGATTTTTTTTTTTTTTTTTTGACTCCCGAATCCCTGTTTTCTCATGTGTAAGAATGCAGTTTGCTCCCTCTAATAACCACTGTCACTTAGTAAATATTTCCAGTCCCTTTGCTTATAGGACTGTTTGCTGTATTGCATTAATTTTATTTAGATATGGAGCTCAACGACAAAATACTATCAGTCTTGCTAGCGTGAACACCGAACAAAAGAGAAAACACATTTGAAAGCACATCCACTTGTATCTAGGAAGCTGAAATCACTCTGGTCATGTGCTGACAGCAGTACTTAGAACAGAGGAAAAATCTAAAATCTTAGACACATGTAGAAAATTGTGTCCATAGCCATGTTTAGAAAGTGCTGATGTCATAGGTGTGAGGTTTTTCGATCTCTTTCTTTTTTTTCCCTTTTCTCCCCCCGAAAGAAGACTGTGGTTAGTGGACCCTTAGTAGAAAACCTGAAGATAGAGAGAGAAGACAAAATCAAGTGTGGCTCTTGACAGAACTGCTCCTGCCATTATGCACATGCTCTGGTGAAAAAGGCGGGCCCTGGTGAACCCCAAAGGGCAAGGTGCTAACTATAACCTGCTTTGGTTTCCTTTTTCCAGGTTTCTCCCCACTGTGGAAGGGGTTGGATGATGTACCTCGCTCTCTGGGACGCCCCACTTGGCTGTAATCTCAGGAAGGCTTCTTAAACCCCGGCTCATCTCACAGTCACTTCTGGAAGCTACTTGAGGAAAAAAAAAAAATGATGTGACAGACCCTCTCAGGAAGGATTTTCAGAAACCCAACATCCGCAGAAGAAAGTGGCCCATTTCCCTTTTGCAAAGTAGACATTCTCAGATCCCAAAATGCCAGCCAAGACACCGATTTACCTAAAAGCTGCCAATAACAAGAAAGGCAAGAAATTTAAACTGAGGGACATCTTGTCCCCCGATATGATCAGCCCTCCCCTCGGAGACTTCCGCCACACCATTCATATTGGCAAAGAGGGCCAGCACGATGTCTTTGGCGACATCTCCTTCCTGCAAGGGAACTATGAGCTGCTCCCAGGGAACCAGGAGAAAGCGCGCCTGGGCCCCTTCCCCGGGCACAACGAGTTCCTGCGGGCCAACAGCACCTCCGACTCCGTGTTCATAGACACGCCCTCCCCGGTGCTCAAAAATGCCATCTCCCTCCCGACCATCGGAGGGTCCCAGGCACTCATGTTGCCCTTGCTGTCGCCGGTGACATTTAGTTCCAAACAGGAGTCCTTTGGGCCGGCCAAGCTGCCCCGGCTCAGCTGTGAGCCGGTGGTGGAGGAGAAGGCCCCCGAGAAGAGCGGTCTGCTGGAGAACGGGACAGGCCACCAGGGAGATGTCTCATGGGGCTCCAGCGGCTCCGCGTCACAGTCAAGCCGGGGCAGGGACAGCCACTCTTCCAGCCTCTCCGAACAGTACTCTGACTGGCCGGCCGAGGACATGTTTGATCATTCCGCCCCGTGCCAGCTCATCAAGGAGAAGACGAAATCAGAGGAGTCCCTCTCTGACCTCACGGGTTCCCTCCTCTCCCTGCAGCTCGATCTGGGGCCTTCCTTTTTGGATGAGGTGCTGAATGTCATGGATAAAAATAAGTAATGGACACCGTGGACTCCTGTCCTTTGGGGGAAAAGGTATCAGAAAATAAAAACGAAACTAACCACAGTCAAAGAGAAGAGCTTCACTGGCTATGTGTGCAGTTGTGCGTGATGGGTTTTCTAAAATCATGTTCCTACGAAATATTTTTTGTACCTGTGATGCCCTGTTTGCAAAAACAATTAGAAAAAAAACAAAACAAACAAAAAAAACAACCAAACAAACAAAAAACCCATCCTGGCAGAAAGGAAGTGAGTCAGTCAGAACCCATTTTCAGCGGGCATTGCTAATGTTCAGCTTACATTTTTTTGTTTCCAGAAACGTAAGAACTCTGGCTTGGCCAGGATTGGCACTAGCTACGAAGGGCTGCACAAGTCACGTTAAAGAACTTGACAATACTCCAGCATTTTCTGAACAAGAAGAAGTCAAAATTTAATACCTAAGCCTTTTTTTCTAGACTCTTTTCTATATTACCTTATTTGGGCTCACCATAGCGAATTCTTCAGTGTTAAAACTGTACTCTGTTTTCACATTTGAAATCTATGGGTTTGGGGGATTTTCTCGTAGCTCTTATATATCCCGATATATTATATCTATATCGCGCAATTTTGACCGTCAGCTACATGTTGGTAAGACACAAGCGAAGTATTACTGTAACTAAGTTATTTTTAAAGTTAAAATATATTTTTATGTGCCTTTGGCTTTTTATTGCAGAGTCTACATTTTATAGCTCCTACATCAGATGTTGTCATTTGACTTATGTCCATTGGGGTTCCATTGTAAGCTGCGTATGTATATGTTTGGAAAAGTGTATTCATACTTAGCTTTATTTCTTTCTCTTCATCTGTTAGCATACTTTTCACAGCATCCAACAATGGATTGTTAAGTTTAAAGGCATAGGTTACTCATGATGCTTCTGCCAAGACTGTGGGCTACACCATATAATGTTATTTGGAAATATAGGTATTTTAGTACAGTACATACTTGCATTACGTAGGTACTTCATGCGACACAATAAAGAGTAAATGTTAAAATGAAATTGCTTGTTTATAGTAATAACAAGGCTAGAAAAATGGCTTCTCTAAAGTGTATGTGAGCCTTTAAAATAAGAGGCGATTTTCATCCACTCTGCAGTTTTGATTTTTTGCCCAAAGGTTTGAGATTCCAGAAACAAGGGCCCTTCAGTTTTAGGAAAAATGAACATGTGAGATCAGAATTTTTAAGTCAACACTTATGCCAGCCTTTCAGGACTCATTTCTGTGAATCTCCTAACCTTACATTAACACACTTTGTAGCAAACTCTTATAACCCCAGTCCCATCCCTGTTGGACAGATGTTTCCTTGCTGCAGGTGCCATATAAACAAGATTAAGGAGGCTAAAAAGAAGGCAGTAGAGAACATCCTCCCCCCATAAGGAGAGATGCCTGAGGACGTCAGTTAAGGAAACAGGAAGAGGAAATGTACACAGTTCCTGCCCTGCTGTCAACCACCCTTCTCCTCCCTTCAAAGTCCAACACTTGCACATAATAACTTTCATTTCTCCTAGAACTATATCCCTGACATGACTTCCTCTCTCAAATACGTCAATGATTGTCCCACCTGGTTTGGAGTTGTTGCAGTTCTAACATCTGATGGCCTGAAACAACCTCTGAACTTAGCAGGAACACACAAGACAACTCACCAACTAGAACAGGAAACCAGTTTCCCTGGAGCACAGAGTACCTGCCTTAACTTCCCAGCTGCATCTCTATCCCACGATTTTCTAGCATTCTTTTTCTGTTCAACCAGAGCCTTTGAACACTCCCCATCTCCATTCACAGTCACATTTATTCTCATTTTACTCTTCATCTGCAGCATGACCTCAAGGAAAAGATAAACTACTAGGTGAAACAGTAATGTTTGCGTATTTCCTCTGCTTGGGTTTGTTTGATAGAATCTAAGTAATAATGCATCCTCGCTGGTATTTAGCTATTAGACTTTCTCTGGCCCCTCTCACAGACAGGCTCCCATTAAGTTCGGTATAATTGAGAGGGCACAAACATGCCCCTGTCACAGAGGAAACAGAGCCACATCCTGCTTATGATTTTGTTAAGTCATTTCTCCGTGGCAGCCCTTCTAATACCTGGTTCTTTCTCCAAGGAGCAGGTGCAGAGCTGGTGGTAGCTTTCTGCAAAAAGGCACTTTGAACTTGGCACCTGCTGAGAGCTGAATTGATGTTCTCCATCTGTGAACATCCTCCCACTTTAAACCTAATGTATCAAGATGCACGTTATTTGCAAACTCAGAATGATGAGCCACCTGTAACCCAACAACCAGAAAAGACACCATGCAATTTGTGTGAAATAGAGACTCTGTGTTGTAGGCAAGGTTCTTGGAGGTGATCTTTCCCTTGGGCAATGAGAACTAACAGAGGATATGCTCTATTATTTCTGCCTCAAATTATTTGCTTTAAAAAAAAAAATCAAAACATCAGGGTACTTAGCTCTTCCCATATATAAAGCCATAACTTAACACATTTCATTGAGTCAGGCCCCTGGCAACAAATGCAGAAGACTAAACTGGTTGAACAGAAACCCAGGTCTCCAGAGTCATGGTCTCCTTTATGTTATTCATACTTAGAGTTTTTTAAGTCTCTGCACAAAAATGCTTGAAGTCATGGAATGGAGGAAGTCATGAATCCATTAACTTGATAAATGTTTTTAAACAGACAAAAGAAAAGTATACATTCCCTGGTGGCTTTGCTCTTCCTAATATGAAGCCTGGTGAGACTGAATCATTTTGTTGTGAAACATACAATAAAGCAAGTTGGCGTGATGGTTTCTCTCCAATAAGAGTTTCTTTTTTGGAAACTTACCAACCTATTCCCTAATTTAGCAGTTCTAATAACGTCCTCAGACTTTAGAATGAGTCTACCAAACTAAAATGAATGATCGACTTATTTTTTTTAAGATTTTATTTATTTATTTGACAGAGATCACAAGTAGGCAGAGAGGCAGGCAGAGAGAGAGCGGGGGAAGCAGGCCCCCAACTGAGCAGAGAGCCCGATGCAGGCCTGGATCACAGGACCCTGAGATCATGACCTGAGCCGAAGGCAGAGGCTTAAACTCACTGAGCCACCCAGGCACCCTATTTTTTTTTTTTTTTTGACAAGACAATAAGCCACATACAGAATTAGGTTACTGGCTGCCCCCCTGTGTCACTACCCATACTTTCCGACCAGATCCAGCAACATAAGAGAAGTTTCCAGATGCTAAATGATAAGCTGGCATTGACCCAGACAGGTAGGTCGCCTTCTGGTTTATTTGGCTGTATAAGGCTTGAGAATGTCACAATACCCAAAATGATATTCCCACATTAACTTAATGTGTGACTAAGCAATACAGTTATTTTCTAAAGAAGATGCTGTCCCTGGTTGGTTGCTTGATGGCCATGTTTGTTTCATCTGATGGTAACCTGGAGAGGTGCATGCTTGGTTGGGATAGATAGCACAAGATTTCATCCAGCCTGTCTTCCATCTGAGAATATTGAATTCTTCTTATTCTTAGGGCACGTGATTAAGAAGTCGGCCTAAACATTTCTTACTTGAGTAATGTTATTCGTGGCCATCAACTCCTAGAAGTAGATGATCCCCCTGACCAATGGCCAAAAGGTCAGCAGTAGCCTAACGCTATGTCATGATGCCTGCTCGCCTTATGTCATCTCATTCTGCCAGCATTTGATCATCAAACATCACAAGAAAGGTGACTACAATCAGATATTTTGAGAGAGACTGACCACATTCACATAACTTTTATTACAATAGATTGTTATAATTGTTTTATTATTAGTTATTGTTAATCTTACTGGGCTTAATTTAGAAAGTAAACTTTATGGATGTATAGGAGAACATTGTATACATAGGATTTGGTACTATCTGTGGTTTTAGGTGTCCTCTGGGGGTCTTGAAACATATCCCCTGTGGATAAGGGGGGGGACCAACTGTAATATACCATTTAATTGTCCTCCATTTGTACTTAAAAAGAAAAAATCTATAGTGAATTCACTTCCATTGGCTTCCAAGGGAGGTCAGTAATCCTTACTCTTTGAAGTTCAGGCAAATTTCCAACAGATCATCAGCACTGGGTATAGATAGGTAACAACATCTGCCCAATTCAGGGTCACTTTGCCAAATATAGTTAATGTCCCAGAATCTCCTTGTGCAGAGATGCCTGCCATACATCAGAATTAGGGAGGCTGAACTTGTAAAGTGGGTGTTATGCTTGCCATAAAACAATTATTGGAGTGAGTCATAAGACATGTGTGATTTGTTGCCAAAAGATCATTAGGGGGAAAAAAGACCTTTGAGTTCTGGGGAGGGAAAGTCCTGGATGGCTTCATGGGAGAGGAGGACCCAAATAGTGAGATTTGTTTTTCAGGAGAGGGAGAATATTCAGGAGGAAGAAGCTTATGAGCAAACAAAAGGATACACTGCATCCTAGAAGGCTTTATACTCCAGACAGTCCAAGAACAGGGATCAAAGTAGAAAATGCTCAGGTTCAAGCCTGGAAGAGTTGGGCCCATGCCTGCGAAGGGTCTCCCGGTGGAGTAAGAAGACTCTGGAATCTGATATTGCTGGACAGGTAGCTCCCAAGGTTAGAAATTTATGTGCAATAAGCACATTACATGAAACTAAACTAGACAAGAGCATGTCTAGTTAACAGTGCCTACACTATGACCCAAAGGCCAACCTGAGGACACCTCAACTGTGAGGCCAGTGAGCGTTCAGGGAAAGTCCTTCATGATGATGGAAGAAGCAAGAGGGACAAAGTATCTCCTGAAACAGCACAAGATGAAAGTTATTATTGCAGTCCCTGAACTGAACCTAGTTGGGCCATTGTCCCGCCAACAGAAACTCCAGGTTGCTTCTTCAAGCTCCCTCTCAACCATCTTTTCCCAGTTGGGTTGCAATTCCTGCAAGATTAAGGAATAAAACTCTTCAAGAAATAAAAAAATTTTAATGTTGTTGAAAAGTCTCAGCTGAGAGGAAAACCAGCCCAATGGAGTAGAAACAAACAGCCCCTGGCATTCTCGCCAATGCCTTGAAGTTCACAGTCACAGAACGAAGTCCCGGAAAGAGGCAGAAGTCCTGGATGTCCAGACTCAGGATGCCTGTCAGTACTTGCCTCTTCTCAGCAGTGAGTTCTGGG